TCAACTCTTTTTTTTTTTTTTTTTTGGTAAATCTGGTACAGGGCATTGTCATTCCAAAGCCAAAGCACATCGCATTGGAAGAATATTTTTAATGCATTTTAACTTTTATCATTTTACAGTAGGGAGAGGGGTTTTGTGAAATAAAAAAATCAAAGCACTCCTTTGAACTTGGAGTAACTGAATGTTAGCCCATCAGGGGAGGATGGCAATGTTTTTTTAAGTCCTTTCACTTGAATAGCCCTAGTGTTGACTGTCAGTGTTATTGGCACAGTACATGGTTAGAGGCCTCACGCAGGGCACTAGCAGGGTGGGCCTGCGAGTTCCCATTTGCACGAGTTTGTGTACATAGTATATCTGTGTAACATTTTGTATATTCCTTGAAGAAAGCGGATAGCTCCTTGCAGCGTTTTTGCCTGTCAGGGTTGCCCATAACCTGTATTATAAAAATGATCTAACTGCAATGGGGCAGGGCTCTGGTTTAATATGGAGCATTATTATAAATGGAGTAAATATTTATTGGGTGTTCTATTCCAGGAATGTGAAGGAAAACACTATTGGAAAAAATTTTGCATTCTGTTGCAGAGGTGACTTTAATCCTGTTACAAATTTTCTTTCTTTCTGAATAAACTTATTCAGCCAAGCATTGACTGTATGGGTATTTCTTATTCTAGCCCCTTGAAACCAGGCCAAGAAAATAAGTAGTTGAATTCTTCCTTTCCAGAGGGATCTGATCTGACCACAGGAACACCCTGCTCTGACACTTACTCCCTCCTCTGCCTATCCCTTCATCCACAGACATGGAAAAATACAGTTTTCCATTACATTATTAGGTTAATGTTGTATAAGGCATTGTTCGTTGCTGCTCTGGTAGTCTGTGCCTCCTCCAAGCTGGAGTTTGACTTGCAGTTCAAGTGAAGAATGTCCATGACCACCAGTAGATTCTGGCATAAACCAAACTCTGGTTTTAAGAAACTGTAGTTGAGTTGCTGCCCTACAAACTACTGCCCTCCTGAAAAGTATAGAGAGCGATCCATATTCGGTGGGGGAAAACCACAAGTATTGCACCTTTCTTGGGAGGGACTAACTATTCAGCACTCAGTCCCTTGGGTCTAGCTTTCAGTAGTCTTCTATCCAACCAAAGGAACCTATAATTTCTTTTAATTGACTCTTTTTAAAATGAGTGAGTCTGATTAATTGCATGTAGGATCATAACTATTCCTTGGGCAGATATACTAATAGTACAAAAGCCTGCACTGCTATAATTTGTTGCCTATTACTGCTTTGACTGGTGCAGATTTTGAAAATGCTAACTGCTCTGCAGATTTAGTTTATTCAAGGTTGAGATAACAGAACTTCCAGCCAGTTTAGGCTGCAAAGCCCACTATCCAGTCTGTATATAAAGAAGATAAGCAGAGCAGAATCTAGGGAAGCTCCTTTTTCCCCAAATACTGATGTCAGTCCTTTACCCTAGATGTCATAAAGCAATGATAGTTTTGGACATCTCTAAAATCAGAGCGATGCTTTTGGATTAGAAGTGTTCTTACTAAGGCATAGGGCACTGAATAAAGGAGTAGGTACTAAAGCTATCTCAAGCTAGGCCTGACAACAGGTTGCATAAGCACACTATAATGGACACCAAAATTTGATACCCCATTGTTAGACAGCCAGCTGCTTGGTGACACCCTTGTCAGTAAAGATGGTTGAGGCAGCTCTTATTCCTACAGGCCCTCCAGATGATATCCATGCTCTTGTTCAGCTGAAATAAACAAAAACAAAACCCAAACCCTGTTTTAATGACCTATTTGTCTAAATGTCTAATTCTGCAACAAGGCCATTTTTTTAGCTAAGTGCTTAGGATTCTGCCTGAGAGTCATGTTTGCTACACCTCTGGTGGTCAGATGCAGTACTGTGTAATAGGAGGCTGGTCTCTTTTCTTATTCTGTAAGTAGGAATACTCAGCTGTTTGAAAAAGAATGAGGTTACTTAGTGTGTGATGCTCTTACCAGAAACTCTGCAGTATCATGCTTGGAGAGTACAGAATCCCTGATGAATAGTTTCCTTGTTGAGAAACCCTTTACTTAGAAGTGTTCTCTGACCACCATTTCCTCTGTATAGCATAGTGTCAGCCCCTTTCTGCTCCCTCAAGTGATTTTTAGCACATCTTTTATTGGACTAACTGTAGTAGAGTTAGACAAGCTGTTTTTAAGTGAGAACAGCCGTTCGTGTGCGACTTGCTTATTAACTTTCTGCCCCCTACAAAGACCCACCTCTTTGGGACAAAGGGTTAAAATGTTATAATTCACATAAATCCTGAACACGCCCAGAGAGAGAGACTGTTTTTATTCTAGTTGTGGAATCCTTCATTATACACAAATAAGAGTTTATTTCAGCCAATAAAGAAGAGTGACAGGTAGATCACAAAGTGCATCACAGTTACTACCAGCACTGAGACAGCTCACCCACAAGTCTGGGGCAATACAATAACCCAACTGTACACAGCAGAGAATTTAACAAATCAGCTCAAAAACTCAATATCAGGATTCAGTTAATTTGCTGGGTGTGTGTGTGTATATATATATATATTTATAGAGAGAGAGAGATATTTGAACCTACTTAAGTTTATTTCCTAAATTCCACATGGAAGCACAAATGGCTTAAAACACCTGGACATATATAGATTTTGATCTTATATATATATATATATATTTATAGATATTTATATAACAGGAAGGATATGTTTCTCATTACTACAATATACTTGTTTTTATTCCTTTAAGCAACTGGAAGGAAAAAAAACAGGTTTCACTAGAGTCACAGCTGATGTGTATGTCACAAAATACAACAGAACAAGCCATGTGTGAGATGCAAGTCAGACCATTCCAGGACAGAACAGCTAAGAGGCAGGCAGGCAGAGAGTCCCAGAGGGAGCAGGGCTACAAGTCAAATGGTGGTTTTGGACTCTCTGGGCGGGAGGGACTGGCCTTGCCCGGCCGGCTGGAATTTAAAGAAAGAGACACAGAAGAAAGAAAATAAAAAAGGGAAGAGAAAAGGGAGGGAAACAAAGCAGTAAAAAAAGTTAAAATACAGACAGGAACCGTCATTCAAATGTCAGGCAAAGTGGATCCATAACAGAAATAAAAAAGAACAGTGCTGGAATAAGAGAACTTAAATCTGAATCAGGGCTGGCACAAAACCTGCAGGAAGGGTGGTTCTTTGGCTCCAGCAGAGATGCAATGTTCAAGATACATGGGATCAATAGTTTTAATACTCTTAATTTTTTTTTCTTTATACATATGACATTAAAAAAACCCAAACCATTAAGAAGATGAATTATGATTTGTCAGGGTTACAAATTTCCCAAAACACATACCATCTGCATGCTACTGGAATTGCACTGCTACCCAAAAAACATTGAACAAGAAATGTGCTTATCCAAAAACAAAGAAATTGCAATAAAACATTTCATAGCAAACTCCCTGAAAATGTCTGCTTGTCCATTTGCATGGGGGGGGGGGGG